GAGAGAGAGAGAGAGAGAGAGAGAGAGAGAGAGAGAGAGAGAGAGAGAGAGAGAGATGCGGAAGTGGGGATGGGGTACGGAGAGAGAGAGAGAGAGCGCATATTACAGCCTCCCGCTGTGGTTGGCCCCACCTCTTTCCTTTCTCGGACTCGCACGCATGTCGTTGCTGGTTCGCGGAGTCCGCGCGCATTTCGGAGAATCGCAGAAGCTGTTCGTATCTTGATACGATACGCAGCGCATTAGCTTATATAGCTTTGACGTTACGAACGCGATTAACATAGTTCGTTTTCCGGGGACGGCGGGTACACTTTTTAGCCTCTATAGCTGATACTCTGTTTTTGAGCGCGGTATAGGCACACGCACACGCACACACACACACACACACACACCCAACCACACCCACCCACACCCACACCCACACGTATACAATTTATGCTGCTCTGGAAGCACAGCTGAAAACGTTTCCAATAAATATTTTGGCGGACTAAGCTGTGTACGGACACGAACAGTAGCGAACCTCTGTCGGCGGCGTCGTCATTTTCAAGAGGCAACTATCTGTTGCAGGTGTTGGGCCCCCCGCCTTGTTTTAGAAGATCTCGATATTTTTCAAGAGACAACTATCTCGAAATTTTTATTTTCACTTCCCCGCCGTTTGTCGTTCGCCGAGCAGGGGTGGTAGCCGGCCTCGCACCGCATACCGAGGCAGCCTCTCTTCTCTCTCTCTCTCTTCTCTCTCTCTCTCTCTCTCTCTCTCTCTCTCGTTCTCTCTCTCTGTGTCTGTGTGGCGCGCCCCATCTCCCTTCTTGTGTGAGGCGCTTGCGTGTCTCTCCGTCCACGTCTGGACTCCTCTTTTCGTTTTCTGTTTTTTGAAACAATTCAATTCTTTTCGTATTGAACCGCCGAGCAAGTCGAAAGAAAAAGAAGAAAGAAACAGGAGTTATGACCCTACTTCCCCGCCAGTTGCCTTGACTGAATGCCCGCGCCCACTTGGACAGGTATCGTCATCACTCCACTGGCGCTGGCGCTACTTCCGGCCAGCTGCTCGGCGGTACTGCTTGCTGAGCGGGGTTTCAAGCTGTCGCCAAGGGTCGCCTGCGTCTGGCCAAGGGAGAGAGAGGCATAGCTGAAGGACGTTTTCGGCGGGTTTTCTAAGTAGTATACAATTTTCAGGTGCACAGCTTGGAGATTGTAAAGGAGAGAGGTACTACAGTTGATGACGCGACACTGATGTTCTGGCGCGGCTTCTCTCTCAGCGGTAGGCAATATTCATAAAGCAGGCTCTTTCTTTCTTCATTTCTGACTACCTCTTCCGTCCACGGGGCCTGTTCGCTGTCCGGTGTCCGGTGTCCGCCATAACTAGCTGGTAGTGCACTACCGTCTTCGCCCGAACACAACGTACTACGGTATCGGGCCGGAAAGGTAGCTTGTATACATTCATAATGAGGGTACGTTGTATTCGGGTGAAGACGGTAGGGCGTCTAGCCAATCATCGTCTTCCTATGTTCAGTAGCCGGGATGTCGTTGTCATCATGCGTTCTCCACGTAGCATGTGCGGCACTTACACGAGCGCCACGTCAGCAGTTGCCTGTCACTAATCCGACGTGGCATTGTGAGCGCTTTTTTATAGAACTGCTGTAAGTCAGCTGGAATCACTCTACCCGTCGATGTCCTAAAAAGTGGCACATTGAGGCAGAGGACCATCCGCGACAACATTTTTGACCTCTTACTACTTCTACCATCTCCTCTCTCTTAGCATTCGAGTTTTCCTCCTCTCTCCCCCGCTCTCGTTCACTCTCTCTTTCTCTCTCTCTCTCTCCGTTTGCAGCTGGCCTGCTCTTGGGCTTATTAGATCAGAGGCGGGTCTTCGATCTTGACGACAGACTAGAGCATACTCAGACTTGAACTTTCCGTATGAATTTGGTCTGCATCGCTGTTAGATACACACCCTAAAGTTCTAGTGTATGAGTATAGCCCCTAGTCAACTAGTTGGTCATCTCCGACTCGGTTTGCCGGTCGGTCCTCCCTGGCGCCCGGATTCTTGCATATCCACTTAGGCTGCTGCTGCTGCTGCTGCTGCTACGTGATCGACCGCAGCGCCGATGTCAGCAGCGAGAGGCAGCGAGACGAAGCGAGACGAGAGTCTGACTAGGTTCTTAGCGCCGCGTAACCATAGGTAGCACATACAGACAGTGGAGACTCGAGGGAGAGAGAAGAGTTTTATATTCTCTCAAGCGTTTATGTACGGGGATCTTCTCACATATACCCTTAAGGAAGTGGGAATCTGTCAAATGTGCCCTTAAGGAAGACGTGTATTGTAAATGAGAACGCGCTTGAGAGAACAAAGGAAAGGGAGAAGACGGGTTGGGGTGAAGGTGGCGGTGCGGGTGGGGGAGGGGTTTAACTCGCTCTCGTGCGTGTGCGTGTCCCTTGAGGAGGAGGGAGTTAATTGTTGGAAAAAGGGGTTCTGCATCTCAGTCCGAAGCAGCGGCGCGCTGTGAGGCTGCTGCAGTATACCTTTCAAACGTTTTACGGTGATCGGTGACTCGTCTACGTGTCAGAACGCGCCCACGTGTCTGGAGCGCGCCCACGCGTTTGGAACGCGTCCAGGGGTGACGCGTTCACGTGTCTTCTGCGAAGCTTTGGCTTTTGTCGAACAGTCTGAAAACGTCAGCAGGTGTTTTCGGGTCGGGTTATGGCGGCAGCAAGAACTGCAAAGAAAGTGTTGAGGATGACGAAGGAGAAGAAGATGAAGAGATCGATGACAATGGCCACGGCTATGGCAGTTGCATTGATGACAGTATGGACAATTCCATCAGGGCCGAGCTGCGTGGTTGCTGCGCGCCTTCTGAACCCATACACGAAGACGGTGACGGTTCTGAAGCCGCTCGATATCTGCGATTTCTACTTTGACGGCTATGAGTTCACGGTCCCCACATTTGCGATTCAACAAGCGGGCGACATTACCTATGGTCCGATCTTCAAGACCAAGTGAGATGCCGCCCCAACTCTATCCCCTCCCTCCCCCTCCCCTCCCTCCGCCCTTCTTATCCTCTCCCGCTTGCGGCCCCTCCTCCCTCAGCCTGTGTTTCCTCAAAAGAGGCGAAAGGACGGGACGAAACAGAGAATACGAAGAGAGAGAGAGAGAGAGAGAGAGAGAGAGAGAGAGAGAGAGAGAGAGAGAGAGAGAGAGAGAGCAATGCGCACGCATGTTTTAATTCTTACAAACTCGATATTCATCGATGAGAGCGAGACCATGGAGGCCGGTTTTGCTGAAAATGCAAGATGCCCTTTCCTCTACACCCGTGCGGTTGGTTCGTTCGTGTATGTGTGTGTTTGTGGTTGTTTCTGTGTTTGTGGTTGTGTGGTGTGTGTGAGAGATGGGGAGAGAAAAAGAAATCTAATTTCGAAAGTGTATGTGCGTGTGTGTGTCACACACACACACACACACACA